TTAATGCTCTCTCCAGTACATGTGTTTGGCCTGATAATCATTCGTGCTAAAATTCTTGTTGTTTTCCGGATACACAAACTTCTTCACAGGCACCCAACAGTGGTCTGAATACTCATGAATAACTGCTCATTCTTGTAACACTTAGCTGTGCATGCTGCTTTGCCATTATATGACTGCTTATATTTACTCCACTGCTGTCATTCATTTTGTACTATAAAAATGGTCCTAAAACTGTTTTCTAAAACAAAAAACCCCACAACAACCAACTTTGCCAACTGTTAAAAGAAAAGGAATGACTGGCAAATGTTGGGTTTAAGAACAGGCATTATTGCCTTTATTAGGGACACATTTTAACAACAATTGCCTGGCTCACCTCTGCTTTACTCCTGGCTTATACTAATGGGCCTCCACTGATTTAAATGCTTACACCAGAATAAAATCAGAGCAACACACTCATGGATCAGACCCAGTATTTCAAGTTCACAAGCATGGGAAGGTTAATAGTAATGAAACTGGTGCAGAATTTTCTTTGCAACACCCCAAACTTGGTGGGCACCTCTAACCCCTCCTGTAATATAAATAATAAACAACAATAAAACAGCTCAAAAAACCCCTTATACTGGAATGCTCTTGGCTCTTCCCTGGACAGTCTGAACAATCCCTAGCCTGGATAATATTGCCAAGATGAGAACATCACTTTCCACTGATGATTCAGCAGCACAATCATTGTATTAAGCCCCTCATTTTTAGTGGGAAGTGGGATGCGAGGGGCTGTGTCTGGAGCAACCCGGGGCCATGCTGCCCTGTGTAAGGTGCCTTGTTCCCATAAAAGCCTTTTAGCAGATTTCTGCTCTCCACAAGGTGCTCACAAGGGCTCCAGCTGGAAGAAAATGCCACTGGCAGCAGGATGTTAATTTGAAAACACCAGCATCGTCGGTGCAGTTGGGAACCCAGCAGCCCAGGGCTTCACTAAAAGCATTGGACTCGGAGCTAAACGAGGCTCCTTTTGATCCCTTTGTGAGTGATATTCGGTGGATTATAGAGTCTCCTCTGGAAATAAGGAGCTTGTCAAAGACCAGCTGATACCTGTGCTTTTATCTGTGGTGTGAAGATCTTCTGCTTAACCCTAAGATTGACCTACTTGCTTATCTCCTCTTGTTGGTTCTGAAATGATGCGGTCTGAGAAGGGGCCAGCCACTGAAGAAAACTCTCAGGATCTCAAAGAGCTTTGGCTGCTAGATACAGGGAGCAATGGTAGAGCTCAGCATCTCTGAACATCAGGGCCAAGTGGTAAAGAAAGCTCCATGCAATGCGGGTTCTTTCTGCCATTTGTGTGTGTGTAAGATTCCCTCATCAACATTATCAGGCAGTTATGAATGTGCAGGAATATAAGGAACTGTCCCTAACAGGGAAGGATTACTATGAGGCCTGGCTTTGGGGAGGGCAGGTCACGGGCAAGTCGCATTTTACACCATAAGAGTTGGATTCTGGGTCACATGGAAGTTAAGGTAGGTCAAGATTTTAAACTAACGCCCACTCTGGAGCTTGCCTTCTTTGATAAGTCAAATGTTAAGGAGCAGGGTTGCAAAGGTGATGAGAGTGCAGCATAGGTAACTGCTCAAGCCTGGGAGGTTAGGTCAAAAAGGTATCGCAACAGATAATCTTATCTTCCAGACTGTACGATGAGGACTATGAGATTCCAGTAGGCGGTCCCCATACTCCATGAATACACATTGCCTAACTGGTCCTGGTGCATAGATGGGAAGATAAGTTCTGGAGCACTTGGTGTAGGACACTGCATATGGTGGAATATATAAATTAAAGAGACTGATGAACTCCTCTTGTATTGGCAATTCCGAGCTCCCCAGATCTAAATGATAGACATTTTCTTGTCACACATTTCACACTAGTTTCTACACTTGGGCCTGGTCTACACTGGGGGAGGGGGGGGGAATCGACCTATGATACGCAACTTCATCTACGAGAATACCGTAGCTGAAGTCGACGTATCTTAGTTCGACTTACCTCCCGTCCTCACGGCGCAGGATCGACGGCCGCCGCTCCCCCGTCGACTCCGCTTCCGCCTCTCGCCGCAGTGGAGTTCCAGAGTCGACGGCAGAGCGATCGGGGATCAATTTATCGCGTCTACACTAGACGCGGTAAATCGATCCCCAATAGATCGATCACTACCCGCCGATCCGGCGGGTAGTGAAGACGTACCCTTAATAACAACAAGCTGGCAAACAGAAGTACGACTCAACATTTTAGGACATAAATGTGACCGAAACTCCTGTATCTAGGTGAAACTGCAGGGGGAATGTAGGGATGCAGAATGGAGTAATAAAACTAGAATTTCAGCACACTGGGGATTTTACACCGACTTTTATAGTTTTTAAAAAAAGTATCATAGGACATTAATAACCACAACTCCATCCATGCTACTGTTGAAGTCAATTGGCCATTGACTTTAGCGAGGTGGGATCACGTAGATACTATGTTGACAGGCACTACATAGGATCCTATGTCAGATAGGATTCAGCGCCCACACATGGACAGGAGTGAGGACCACAGGCTTATGTCACCTCAGTGAACATTAACTCAGTGCTGAACCAGGTCTGTCCAATAACAACTCAGGTACCATCCCCCGTAGCACCAATACGTCTTTCTGAAAGGTTTATCCTTGAAGGTGTCCCACTGAAACAGCGACCCATCCTGATCAGCTCAGGAGAACTGATGGGAGCACTCAGTGGTCTGCCTGCAGTCTAGCTAAAATAATAAAGCACATAGGTCCAACCCAGAAGTCTCACGTCAAAGCAAGGTAAACAACTCCCAGCTTAGATTCCAGTGCATGCTGGAACAGCAGCTGTTTGTATCAAGAGAGACCAGAGAATGTCAGGGCCTGGGATTTTGTTGCAATTATGGTTGTTGCCAGCAGGTCAGCCAGAGCAGGACACCTTTTGAAGGAAGGAGACGGGGATTGGGAAAGTGATGCCCTATTTATATTTTCTCTGTTATCTTGTTCATTTTAACGAGCAGCAAGAAACCAATGTGAAGTGAAGGAAATCTCATTAAAAAGCATGAAAGGAAAAAAGACTCAGGAAAGATAATAGGAGCTTCATGCATTCGCTACGCTAGGAGTTGCTCTGATTGAATGCTGGGCTGGCGCTTTGACTGGGTTTGATGCCTCCTCCTTGTTCCGGTGCCAGCTGCTAGTCAGCCTTTCAAATGTCAGTCTTGTAACTGGATATTTTTGGTTTGATTTCCTTGCAGCCTTGAGTCCATCTGAGTGAACGTTCACAGACCCTTAAATGCAGTTGTCATGGTTTATTTGGGTCCCTTTTCAATACAATGATGCAGCAATACGTTTGGGGAGCGTGGACAGGAGTGGATGGAGGCTGTCAGGGTCAGCACTGCTAAGGGATGATGGACAACTCACTGCTTTAGATAGGAGAAGGGGGTCTAGGCATTGGATCAGGTTGGTCTGGCAATAAGAGGGCAGATGCCTAGGGACTCAGTACTTCTGGCTCCCATGGGAAGTTAATGCGAGCGGTGGGGCTCAGAACCATGCAAATAAGATAGCACGCCTCTGAATCTGGGCACGCAACAACGGAGGCGCTCAAAATTTATGTGCGCTTTGGAAAATCTGGGCCTGAATGATCTCATCCTAATCTTCTGAGAGATATTTGCCCTCCTCGGAAGATCACAGTTTCACAGTGCATCTGCTTTGACAAGACTGATCAATGGAATAACAAGAGATGCTGCAGATCTGGATTGCGAAGCGTTGGGGCTGAGTGCATTGGCAAGCTTGTGTGTGGGGAGCCAAGAACTGGATTACTTGTGGGCCCTGCATGTTAGGTGATTGGTTCGGAAAGTTCAGCTACCTTTGTTTGCTTTGTAAAAAAAAATCCGAGCGGTTGCATTTCCTGGGGTAAGACTGGTGGATAAATTACTGCACGATAGAAAGGGTGTTCTAAAAGTGTTTAAGATCTGAAAAAAGAATGAGGAGTACTTGTGGCACCTTAGAGACTAACAAATTTATTTGGGTATAAGCTTTCATGGGCTAAAACCCACTTCATCGGATGCATGCAGTGGAAAATTCAGTAGGACTGCCATACCAACTCTAACGAGACTACTCAATTAAGGTGGGCTATCATCAGCAGGAGAAAAACAACTTTTGTAGTGATAATCAGGATGGCCCTTTCAAACAGCTGACAAGAAGGTGTGAGTAACAGTAGAGGGAAAATTAGCATAGGAAATAGTTTTTAGTTTGTGTAATGACCCATCCACTCCCAGTCTTTATTCAAGCCTAATTTAATGGTGTCCAGTTTGCAAATTAATTCCAGTTCTGCAGTTTCTCGTTGGAGTCTGGTTTTGAAGATCTGAGTTTCCCATCTTAAATAGGGTTAGACAAGCCTGGGATCTGCCTCCAATACACTCATGCATCTGTCAAGGGAAACTCTGACCATATAGAGGTTCACCCTTCACCTATTGCTGAAGGGACCATAACAACTGATTCCATTGGAACCCGGCAGTGAGTAAAAGTGATACACTTATTTACGTTCTATCTGCCTTGCAAAGTACTTTCACTGTAGGGTGTGAGCACCTCTCAGACCTAAAAGGATTTATCCTCACAATGTGTCTGTGAGGTAGCAAAGTATTATCTCCACTAAGGACCTGTGTAACTCAGGTTCAAGGAGATTAAAGCCCAGATCCTCAACGGTATTTAGGCACCTGACTCCCGTTGAGGATTTTGGCCTAAGTGACTTGTCTGAGTGACCCAGACATAGCCAAGAGCTCCTGAGTCCTACTCCAATGGCTTGACCCTAAGACCAGTAAGTGTCATAGCCTCTACAAGGTTTACTTGCGTATATGATAGAAACATGGAGCTGACCTCCATGAGCTTGTGTGTGCATGATGGATTCGTTACACTCCAGTTTTTGAGTATCATGTGGCTTCTTCTTTGTGGCAGGGTGGAGCTGGAACCTGGCATTGTTACCTTCATGGATCCCCTGAACGTGTCCTGGTACAATGACGACATTGGCAACAGGAACTGGAGCAAGCCTCTCAATGGGTCCACTGAAGACCAGAAGCCACACTACAACTACTACGCCATGCTTCTCACCCTTCTCATCTTCGTCATTGTCTTCGGCAACGTGTTGGTGTGCATGGCCGTGTCCAGGGAAAAAGCCCTTCAGACCACCACTAACTACCTGATCGTGAGCCTGGCCGTGGCAGATCTCTTGGTGGCGACTCTGGTGATGCCCTGGGTAGTCTACCTAGAGGTAGGTGGCATTGCTTTGTAGCATATCCTCTGCAAGCCAAATATGTCTGGTGCCTATATCCAGAGAGTGGAAGATTAGTGGCTTGGGAATCAGCTATTTAAAGTGTGGCTCTATTCAGAATAATAACTGCCTCTCAGTAATTTCAAGAAACAAATGTGCTCATTTTTCTAATTGCCAGCCCTGTGAATGCAACCAAGAATCTGAGAGTCAGGCCAGCTCCTTCCTATCTCACACATCATCACCACCACAAACACAGGTTCTGGAGGCCAAATTAGGTCCTCTGTGATACCCGGGGTGCTCCACTGTCTTCAGATTATGTTCTCCGTGACATGTGCAGTCCCATTGTCTTCGATGGGTTTGCTCAGGTGTGTCTGGTGCTTAGTACACTAATCTACTGAGTATGCACAAGAAAGAAGAGAATCCAGATAATTTCCCCATAGATGTACTAGTTCTGCAAGGCTAACAGGAATTTAAAACTCAGACAACATTAATTTAGCCTGCAATTGTAATGCTGACAGACCCCGGTCGTCGGCGGGCGGGATCGAACCTGTGATCTTTGGAGCTTAGTGCATGAGCCTCTACAGCATGAGCTAAAAGCCAAGTGGCTGTTAGCTACGGCTGTAGAACAGACTCATTTTATCTCTCTTGCTAAGTAGTCTCGGTGCCACTAGATGCGACAGAACACCACACATGTTTATTACTGTACTGCCTAATGCAAATGAAACAAATGCTAACAGAAAAAAGAAAAACAAAAGCAGAGGAACGTAGGCCTGGCTTGACATGAGTAACTGGACATAGGTGAGGCCTCAGTTCTTAGGAGACAGGATTAGGGAGGTAAAATGATCAGCAGACTAGAAACAGAATGTCTGTACAAGCTAAGATAAGGGGAACACTCAGGGAACAATTTACAATGGACAAGATAACAATGGGCAAGATAAACCTGGAATGTAAGATGAGGCAAAGAGTAAATCAGGCATGGCCAGTGCATGCTATATTGGTTCGTACAAAGTGAACTAGCCAATCCCAAAACCCGTGATGCCATGTATAGTAAATGCAATGTAACATGTCAATGTATATAAAGGAAGAGGTTTGCGGTATGACTTTGGACATGTGGTATGCACTATACCCACCCTCTACACTTGAGTCTCATCAACTCAGTGTAGGTTTGCTGTATGCCAAATAAAGGAACTTGAGTCATGACACTGCAGGCATTCTGAATTCTTGGGGAACCAAGTGGAAGAGGTCTGAGGGAAACCCCAACGAGGACTAACCTTGAGTTGACATGGATTTTCCAAGATACACAGCCATGTGCAACGCATACCCAAGCAGAAGAACGGGCCCCTAACACTTCATTGGAGTTGTGTGAATAAACTATATAGACTATTGACCAAACATATAGGACCACAGCATATTTCTTAAAAACCACAGCAGTAGGGAAAATGTGCAATTGTATGTGCAAAATGTAAATGCAGAGCTACTGTGTCATAATATATAAGAGAAATAGAATCATAAGTGAGCTACTTGTCACATTACAGTAGTTAGAGTGTCACTTTGGTATAAAGGAATTTTGTGCCTCTGCATGTAGAGCCATGTTTGAGTGGCACTGTGTTCTGTGAAAGCGGAATATTCCAAATCTGCCAAGCATTTAGCTGACATCAAATGATTCTTGAAATCGTAAATAGCTAGAAAGAGCGAAGTGCAATGTGTGGGAAAGGATAATAGAAAGTACAAGGCCCTTGTTCTTCAAATCTTTAGAAAAACTTGTGTGCGCGTGCCTGAGAGACAGACACAAAGAGAGAAAATGTTACTTTCTTTGGAGACTGGTAGACTCAGGGAATAGCATACTAAGCAATTAACCTCTTGTGCAGAGAATGATCTCAAGTTTTATGTACCACGTAAGGGCTTAAGTGGTATTTAAGTTGTACTTGGGCCTTGTGCTAGCCTTCTACACGGGGATGAGTTGCTTCTACAATGCCTAAAGTACTGGGTAAAGTTCTACTTGGGTTGCCAAAAAGTTGTTACACGTTACTATCTGATGCCTATCTGTGACCTATGTGAAATGAGCTTTGAGGGGTCTCAATCTAATTCCTGGTGGATAGGTGTCCACATCACCTTCAAAATAATTACTAATTGGCCTCTGCTTGCTGGCTATCAGGAGAAGCCAAGGATTGAATAAACTATGGAGACTGAACATCCATCCATCCATCCATCTATCTCTGACCACCGAGAGAAGATCCCTTCAATTAAGGTTAAAGCACACTGGGTGAGAGGAAAGGAAGGGTACTTAGCTGCTGTAGTCTCTAAATAAGTAGTAGACATCAAGGGGTATCCATGTGGAACCATTTACCGGTGCTAAATTCATCTAACAAGAAAAATAAATAAATAAATAAATAAATAAATAAATAAATGACATTTCCTTCAATAGTCTCTCTTTTAGATGGGCCTGTAATTGGAGATAAACTGGAGGTTTTTTCCAGAGAACTCTACACATGCAAAATTACAAAGTGAAAATTAAATTGCAGTCAAAACAAGCAAGAAGTCAGGGCTGCAATCCAGCAAAGCAATTAAGCATGTGCTTAACTTTAAGCACATGACTAGTCTAACTGAAGTCATTGGAATTATTCACATGTTTAAAGTTAAGTACTCTGCTGGCTCAAGGGTGCTACAGAAGTTTAGTTACTTACTTTACAGAGGTGACACAGAAATAATACTTACTGCCAAGAGTGCTGAATACACTCAGACTGCAAGTGAAAAGTCCTTTGCTGAGACCTCTGTCTGATCTATGTTTCACAGCAGGGTTCTTGATTTTAATTTACTCACTGCTGAGTTATTGGCCTTTAATCTACTCTACAGCCCTGAAGTCGATTGGAAGCATTTACATAGAGCATCCCCACTAGGTGGGGAAGATGAGTTTGCTTTATAAGACAATTGGTTGCCACTTCACTAAGAGCAGACTGGGGTTGCCCAGGTATTTGAATACTTAGGGTTAGATTTAGGGTTACCATTCGTCCGGATTCCCCCAGACATGTCCGGCTTTTCTGAGTTAAAAATAGCGTTCGGGGGGAATTTGTAAATGTCTGGACTTGCCCCCCATGCAGAGTGCACGCGGCTGACAGGGCAGCCGGCCGGATGGTGCCACTTGCACTGGGCTCCGGCAGCCAGAGAGAGCCCCTCCTCCGCTTCCCCCTCCTTTCCCCTGCAGCTGAGATCACTCCCTCCCTCCCTGCATTCGCAGATCACCGGACGTTCGGGCCTCCGGCAGTCTGGAGCTTCTCCCCCTGCCCAGCGCACGGCTCAGCAGCACTCTGCGAGGGCGGGAACCGGGCTATGCGCTCCGTGGGGGAGCGCGGCAGCATGTTGGGCTGCGCGTGGAGCCCGACATGCTGTTCTGAGTGGCACGTTAAGGGGGCCAGGGGGTCAGAGAAGGGGCAGGGAGGTTCTGGAGGGGGCAGTCAAGAGACAGGGAGCAGGGTTGGATGGGTCGGGAGTTCGGGGGGGGGCTATCTGGGAGTTGGGGGTGTAAGGTTTTGGGCAGTCAGGGGACAGGTACCAGGTAGCGTCCTAGGGGGGCAGTTAGGGTGGGGGGAAAGGTCTCAGGAGGGGGCAGTTAGGGGACAAGGAACAGGGAGGCTTAGGTAGGGGGTGGGGTTCTGGAGGGCAGTTAGGAGCAGAGGTCCCAGGAGGGGGCAGTCAGGAGACAGGGAGCAGAGGGGTTTAGATGGGTCGGGAGTTCTGGGGGGGCTGTCAGGGGGTGGGGAGTGGTTGGATGTGGCGTGGGAGTCCCAGGGGTCTGTCTGGGAGTGGGGGTGTAGATAAGGGTTGGGGCAGTCAGGGGACAGGTAGGGGGTAGGGTCCTAGGGGGCCAGTTAGGATGGAGGGAGGGTCTCAGGAGGGGGCAGTCAGGGGACAAGGAGCAGGGAGGCTTAGGTAGGGGGTGGAGTCCTGGGGGGCAGTTAGGTAGGGTTACCATACGTCCAGTTTTTCCCGGACATGTCCGGCTTTTTGGTCCTCAAATCCCTGTCCGGGGGGAATTGCCAAAAAGCCGAACAGGTCCAGGAAAATAGCTTTGCTGGCATCCTTGCCCCAGTCCCCTGCTTCCCTTGCGGCTCCCGCAGGCTGCGAGCTGCAGGCGGATTCCCCCGCGGCGGCTGCTGCTGCTCCCCCCAGACACCTCAGCTCTGTGTAGCTGAAGAGCCGAGCTGCCCGAGCACTACCGGCTTCACGGTTTGCCGGGCAGACCCCAGATCTCCAGACCCTGTGCCCCCAGCTGGGCGCTTCCCCAGTGCAGCGGGAGCCCGGGAGGGGAAGCGCCCGGCCGGGGGCGCAGGGTCTGGAGGTCTGGGGGCTGCCCGGCAAACCGTGAAGCCGGTAGCGCTCGGGCAGCTGTTTCGCGGCTGGGAAGGAGGAGGGGGAATGCGGGGCGCTCAGGGGAGGGGGCAGAGTTGGGGCGGAGAAGGGGCAGAGTTGGGGCGGGGAAGGGGAGTGTCCTCTTTTTTTTAAAATGAGGAAATATGGTAACCCTAGTTAGATTGATTAAGGGGTGGTGCATAAACTGCCCCAGAGGAACAGCGCTGAGAAGCATTGTACTTCACTGGCACCCCACACACACCCTGAGTCACAAATCCTCCCTGTGCTTTCTCCTTGCTTTGAGAAGGAGTACCCATTTGCTGCTTGCCTACACCATCCCCACACAGAGCCTGCTTGCTCCTGTGTACCCAGACCGGAGCCACGGGTAACTGCACAGCGTTGTATGCAGGGTTCTTACTTCCCTTTACTCCCCTCCATGAGTAGGTAGTCCAAGGTACAATCTAGCTCTTAATCTTTATAGAGTGCTTTGAGCTCCTCAGATGAGAGATTCTGTACAAATTCCACTTGTAATTGAATACTATATTAAACTATACAATTTCAGATAATATTCATTCTTAATATTACCCATCTCATGCACATTTTGCAACTCTTTTAATGAAGATTGCACATATCTTCAATCGTTGTTGGCAGTT